CAGGCCGTCGTGTTCGATCTCGATGGTACGCTGTATCCGACCCGCCAGGCGGCGGTCCGATCCTGGCGTCTCGTGTTGCGGCACGCCCGCCTGTTTCGAGCCTTCCGTCGAGTCCGCATTCAGGTGCGCGCGATCCGTCCGATCTCCGATCTTCATGCCCTGCAGGCCGATCTGGTCGCCGACCGGATGGGGATCGATCCGGCCGAAGCCCGTGCGCTGATCGACGCTGTGGTGTACGCGCGGCTGCCGGACGCGTTGCGCGGCGTCCGCACGCATCCCGGTGTGCAGCGGGCCCTCACGGAGCTCCGCGAGCGGGGAGCGAAGCTGGGCGTGCTCTCGGATATGCCGCCGGATGCAAAGCTGCGTGACATGGGGCTGCGCGGGTTCGCCTGCGCGGTCACCTCGGAAGCGACCGACTATCTGAAGCCCAACCCGGAGCCGTTCCGGTACGTGGCCGAACTCCTGGACGTACGCCCGGAACAGGTGCTGTACGTCGGCAACCACTATCGGTACGACATCCTCGGCGCGGGCGCCGTCGGGATGCTGACCGCACACCATGCGCGCAGGGCGGAGCAAAGCAGCCGCGCGGATCTGACGTTTCTCCGCTACGACTCACTGATGCCGGCGATCCGGGCGGCCGGCATCCGGCTGCCGTCCGGCCGGGTGTCGTGATTTGTTGACAGCCTGGACGGCCGCCCATAGACTTGATCATCCCCGCTGGGAGGGGATCATGTGGTTCGAGGCCGGAGTCGTCGCGCTCCTGGTTGCGCTGGGGGTCGTCCTCGTTTTTCGTCAGTTCGACCGTAACAACCGGTCGCTGGAAAAAGTAAAGCGCTACGGCGACCGGGTGATGAACACCCTGTCGACCTTCGTGGAGAAAAAGAGTTCCGAAATCAAGGATCTCGCGATCGAGGTGCAGGTCAGCGTAAAGCAGGGCAAGGAGTTGCTGCGTTCCGTGCGGGAAGTTCAAGAGGATCTGGCCGCGCGCAGCCGCGACCTCGAGGAGCGCTCCGTGGAGATCGAGGCCATCCGCAGCCGTATCGACGGGTACGACACCGCGCTGGCCGAGCTGGTGAACATGAGCGAGCGGGTGGACGACAACCTGCGGCGGTTGCGCGGCGAGGACGAACGGCTGCGCCGGGTCGACGAACAGCGCACGGCACTGCAGGAGCGTCTGGCCGGCCTGGACTCGACGGCGGCCTCGGTCGAAGGGCGACTCAGGCACGTCGAGGACACGGCAGAGAAGGCGCTGTCGGACAAGCTCACCGACTTCGAGCAGAAGTTCGTCGCCGAGCTGCGTAAGCGCAGCGAAGACCTCGAAGCCCGACACTCGGGCTGGCAAGCGGAGATGGACCAGCGCATCGGCAGTCTGCAGGCCGAGGGGAGCGCGCGTACCGATGAGGCGGCAGCGGATCTGGCGCGGGCGCTGCACGATCGCACGGACGATCTGCAACGGCGCTCGTCGGCCGAGATCGAACGCATGAGCGCGACCGTAGACGGATTCGACACGCAGATCACGCAGCGATTCGCCGCCCTGGATGCGGAGTTGACCGAGATGGCGGGGCGGCTCACCATCTTCACCGATCAGACCCCCCTCCTGGAGCGCGCCGACCGCATGCGCGAGCACCTGGAACGGCTGGACAAGAGGTATGCCGACGTGCAGCGGCAGAAGCACGCGGTGGCCGAGATGGAGATGGAGCTGAACCGGGCCACGAAGCTCGGCGAGGAGGTTTCGGTCAGGCTTGCGCGGTTGTCGGCGGATCGTCACCGCGTGGAATCGATGGAGCGCGACTTCCAGCGATTGCTCGCGATAGCGGAGGACATGGACATCAGGCTGACCACGGTGGAGACGGGCCGGCAGGCCGCACAGGACGTGCAGGCGAAGCTCCAGAAGCTGGGCGAACTCGCCGATGCGGTCGACGCACGGTACCAGCAGCTCTCGCACAAGCATGAGACGGCAGAGGCGACGTCCAGTGGTGTGGATCGCAATTTCGAGCTGCTCAATCAGCTCGATGAACAGGTCATCGGGCTGCGGCCCGACGTGCTCAAGCTCGCGGCCGGGCTGGCCGAGCTGCAGAGCCGCGTCGATGCGCTGGCGAACAACAAGGAGAGCGCGGATGCCGTGATCCGCAGCCTCGATGGCGTCGACGGATTGCTGGGTGATCTGCAGAGCCGCACCGAGCGGCTGATGACGGCCAGAGAATGGCTGGCACGGGCGGAAACCCGGCTGGAACAGATCGGGCAGCAGGCGCGCGCATCGGTACGCGAGCTCGAATCGCTGGCCGGGTCGCGGTCGGAGGACAATGACGGGGGCGGCGGTTCGCGACCGGCGGTCGACAACCGCGAGACGGTGAGCAAGCTCGCCGGACAGGGATGGTCGATCCCGGAGATCGCCCGCGCGACCAAGTTGAGCCGAGGTGAGGTGGAGTTGATCCTGGAGGTGGAACCCGCGACCGGCGTTCGCTCCAACGGCTGACGTGCAGAGCAGCTGACCCCGCCTACGGCATCGCGCACACGGTCGGCGCGTTGTTGACGGTGCTTTCGGGCCGCTATTATCTTCCGGTCATTGACTGATGGCACTCGGGACGTCGGCGACGGACCGGCCTGCGTTGCACTCTGTGGATCAGTGCTGTCGGGAGGCGGACCGGCAGGGAGTGCAGGGTCGGCAGGCAAAGATGAGCGATAGCGGAAACAGAGCGGAGCAGGGCACGGCGGACGACGTAGCTGGCTCACGGAGAGAGAGCCGCTGCGCTCCAACCGAGCGGTCGACGAGGCGACGGACGACGCGCTTGCCGATGGGGAGCACGGCGACGAAGGCGCGGCGGATGGTGAGACGGCTGCGGGAGACGCAGCGGAGCGCGATCCTGGTCGCGGAGATGGCGGCGTTGCAGGATCAGTTCCTGCGCAAGCAGGCCGATTTCGAGAACTTCCGCAGGCGACTTCACCGCGACAAGGATGAGGCGATCCGCTACGCGAACACCGAGGTTCTCCTGGACCTTGCAGACGTCATCGACGGCCTCGAACGCGCCATCCAGACCGGCGAAGACGCCGATGTCGAGTCCCTGCGCGAAGGTGTGTCGTTGATAGAAAAACAGCTCACCGGTCTGCTGGAGCGCAAGTGGGGCTTCTGCCGCTTCTCATCGGAGGGGCAGCCGTTCGACCCGGAGCGCCATCAGGCGATCGCCTCGGAGGAATCCGACGTCTATGAGGTCGCCACCGTGGTGGAGGACTATCAGAGGGGTTATCTGCTTCACGAACGCGTAGTGCGCCCCGCTCGGGTGAAGGTCGCGCAACCGCAGAGCGGCTCGAACGAGGATCCGGCAGGCGCACGGGGCGACGCGTCAGCCGATACAAAGGAAGGCGAATAACATGGGCAAGATCATCGGCATTGACCTGGGGACGACCAATTCCTGCGTCGCCGTGATGGAGGGAGGCCAACCGAGGGTGGTGCAGAACTCGGAGGGCCAGCGCACCACGCCCTCGATCGTCGCGTTCACCGACAAAGGGCGGCTGGTCGGCCAACCGGCGAAGAACCAGATGGTCACCAATCCGGAGCGGACGGTGTATTCGATCAAGCGCTTCGTGGGCCGCCGCTTTTCCGAGGTTCCGGAAGAGATCAAGATGGTCCCGTATCTGGTCACCGACTCAGGCAGTGACGTCCGCGTCCATATCGACGACAAGCGGTATTCGCCGCCCGAGGTCTCCGCCGCCGTGTTGCAGAAGATGAAGGAGACGGCGGAAAGCTATCTCGGAGAGACCGTGACCGAGGCGGTGATCACGGTCCCCGCCTACTTCAATGATTCGCAGCGGCAGGCCACCAAGGACGCCGGCCGGATCGCCGGTCTGGACGTCAAGCGCATCGTCAACGAACCGACCGCCGCAGCGCTGGCATACGGCCTCAACAAGGAAGGGAACGAGGAGAAGATCGCGGTCTACGACCTCGGCGGCGGCACCTTCGATATCTCCATCCTGGAACTCGGCGACGGAGTGTTCGAAGTCAAGTCCACCAACGGCGACACCCACCTTGGAGGCGACAACTTCGATCAACGGGTGATCGACTGGCTGGTCGCCAGCTTCAAGAACGACAACGGCATCGACCTGTCGAACGACCGGATGGCCCTGCAACGGCTCAAGGAGGCAGCGGAGAAGGCCAAGATCGAGCTCTCCGGCACGCAGAGCACGGAGATCAATCTGCCGTTCATCACCGCTGACTCCTCCGGCCCCAAGCATTTGCAGTACACCCTGACGCGGGCCAGGTTCGAGCAGATGATCGACGATCTGGTCCAGCAGACGCGGCGCCCGTGCGAGCAGGCGATCAAGGACGCCGGCGTCAGCGCGGACGAGATCGATCAGGTAATCCTGGTGGGCGGCTCCACCCGCATTCCGGCGGTGCAGCAGTTGGTTGCCGAGCTGTTCCGGAAGGACCCGAATCGCGGCGTCAACCCCGACGAGGTGGTCGCGGTGGGGGCGGCCATCCAGGGCGGCATCCTGGGCGGCGACGTCAAGGATGTCCTGCTGCTGGATGTCACTCCGCTGTCCCTGGGCATCGAAACGCTCGGCCAGGTTTTTACTGGTCTGATCGAGCGCAATACGACTATTCCTACCCGCAAGAGTCAGATCTTTTCGACCGCGGCCGACAACCAGACTGCGGTCTCTATCCACGTGCTGCAGGGCGAGCGGAAAATGGCTACCCAGAACCGTACCCTTGGCAGGTTCGATCTGATCGGCATTCCGGCGGCGCCTCGCGGCGTCCCGCAGATAGAGGTCGCCTTCGACATCGATGCCAACGGGATCGTCCACGTATCCGCCAAGGATCTCGGTACCGGCAAGGAGCAGAAGATTCGGATCGAGTCTTCCTCGGGCATTTCCGAGGAAGAGATCGAGCGCATGGTCAAGGACGCCGAGGTCCACGCGGACGAAGACAAGAGCGCGCGAGAGGCCGCCGAGTCCCGCAACGAGGCGGACAGCATGATCTATGCCACCGAGAAGTCATTGAACGATTTCGGTGACAAGGTGAGCACGGACGACAAGGAGAAGATCACGGCCGCGATCGAGGCCCTGAAGCAGGCCGTCGAGGGCGACGACACCGCCGCGATCACGGCCCAGACCGAGGCGCTCAAACAGGCGTCCCACAAGCTCGCCGAAGAGGTGTACAAGGACGCGCAGCGGAAGGCATCCGCCGAAGCCGGAGATGCCCCGCGCAGCGCGCAGGATACGGGCTCCGGGGATGACCCGCAGAGTGAGGCCGATCAGGGCGCCAACGGCAAGGGTGCCGGTTCGGTTCAGGACGCCGACTACGAGGTGGTCGACGACGACGAGAAGCGCGGTTAGGAGTCTGTCCGATGGCCCGTCAGCGCCGATCCCGACGGACTTGCAAGGAAGAGGGACGGGCCACCCTCTGCGCGGCTCTTCGGTGTGGCGCCGCAGGCGGCGGTTCGGGACCATAGCACAGCAATGGCCAAACGCGATTACTACGAGGTTTTGGGGGTAGACCGGTCCGCGGAGCTCGACGAGATCAAGAAGGCGTACCGCAAGCTGGCGGTGCGTTACCACCCGGACCGCAACGCCGGCGACACTCAAGCCGAGGAGCGCTTCAAGGAGGCAACCGAGGCGTACGACGTGCTGGCAAACCCGCAGAAGCGGCAAGCGTACGACCAGTTCGGTTTCGCCGGGGTGGACGGCATGGCCGGCGGCCAGGGGCACGACTACTCACACGTCTTCCGCGATTTCGAGGACGTCTTCGGCGATGTCGGCAGCATCTTCGACTCTTTCTTCACGCGCACCGATCGCAGGCGTGGAGGCGGGCGCGGCGGCGGTGCCGGCCGGGGCGACGATCTGCGCTACGATCTGCGCATACCGTTCGAGCAGGCGGTGTTCGGTACCAAGGCGGACGTCGCCTATCGCCGCCAGGAAGCGTGCTCCCGGTGCGACGGCAGCGGCACGGAGGGCACCACCGCCCGCAGCATCTGTCCGACGTGCGGCGGATCCGGCCAGGTGCGCCGCAACTCGGGGTTCTTTTCCATCGCCACGTCCTGTCCGTCGTGCGGCGGCGAGGGCGAGGTGATCGAAAACCCCTGCCGCGCATGCCGCGGTACGGGACGCGAGCAAAAGGAGCGAAGGCTGCGGGTGACCATTCCGGTCGGCATGGAGAACGGCAAGCGCATTCAGCTCACCGGGCAGGGAGACGCGGGAATCGGCCGCGCGCCGGCCGGCGATCTCTACGTGTTCGTGCACGTGGAACCGCATCCGTGCTACCAACGCCATGGTGACGATCTGTACTGCGTGATTCCGTTGGCATTTACTCAGGCCGCCCTGGGAACCTCGATTCTGGTGCGCACGCTCGACGATCGCCGGATCCGGGTGAAGGTGCCGGCCGGAACTCAGCCGGCAAAACTGCTGCGCGTGCGCGGCGAGGGAGTGCCGCACCCGGACAACCCCGGACGTCGCGGCGATCTGTACATCAAGGTCGCGGTGACGGTGCCCGATCGGCTCTCGTCACATGCCAGGAAACTGCTCGGCGAGGTCGCTGAGGCGGTCGGAGAGGAGTCCAGCCCCGAGCCGGTGCCGCTTGCGGAACTGGAGTAGCCGGCCACGGTACACCCCACTACGGTCGGGGCGATCGCACTCATCGCGCTCGCGGTGCCCCTGTGCATGGCGGCCGCTTGGCAACGTCGCTGGACCTGGACCGGCGTCTGGCAGGTAGCGCTGCTGGCGACGCTCGCGACGCGGGCGATCGGCCGGCTGATCCCCGCCGGCGCCGTGGTGGAGATTCTGAGCGGCCAGGCGGTGATCTGGTTCGCCGGCGCATGGCTGGCGGTGCGCAACCGCGGTGTGTCGCCCCGAGTGTGGCACGCGCTCTGCGTTTCGCTCATCGTCCAGAATGCTCTGATCGCGGCATTCGGTCTGCAGGGCACGGTGCCCGCCTTGGCTCTTTCGTCGTTGACGCTGACCGTGTCGGCGACCGCGGGGCCGATTCGTTTGTTGGCATCCGATGCCATCGCCGCACGTCCGCGGGTGCGCGTCGTCATCGTGGCGATGGCCGCTCTGGCCGTTTCGGGCGGCTGTACGAGCGCTGGACCGCCGAGCTCGGTCTGCCACGCATCACGGCCCGGGCTCTGGTGTGAGCTGGCGCTGCTGTTGGCCGCGGTGGTGGCGAATCAGCTCTATACGGGCCCGTTTCGCCCTCGGCATCTGGATGCAGCACGCGACGAGCTGGCGGACACGGAGGAGACCTTGCAGATGCAGAGCCGGCTCGTGTCGGTCGGGCAACTGGCGACGGGAGCCGTGCACGGGGTCAAGAACGCGCTGTCAGCGATCGGCCTGGCGGCCGACTGGGGGACTGCGGCGGGCTCGGACGGCGATGCGCAGCGCAGCCTGCAGCTCATCCGCCGCAACGTCCGCGCCGCGCACCAGGATCTGGAGCGGCTGCTGCGCGAGATCAAGGAGGACGACGCCCGCGACGCCGATGTGACCGAGGTGGTACAGGCGGTCGCCGAATCCATGCGCATCTCCGTGCGTCCCTTGCGGGCGACCGTTCAGGTCGAACTGCAGCCGGGGCTCAACGCCGCAATCGGACCGAGCGACCTGACCATCGCCGTCTCCAATCTGGTCGAGAATGCTGCGCGCGCCGGCCGCGGCGCTCCCTCCACCACGATCCGCATCGCCTCGCGGCGCGGACCAGCCGGGACCGTGATCGTCGACGTGATCGATGACGCCGGGGGGATGGACGACAAGACGGCGGCGGCTGCCTTCGACCTGGGCACCTCCGGAGACGAGAGCACCGGCGTGGGCTTGCACCTCAGCCGCAAGCTCATCGAGCGCGCCAGCGGCGAGCTGACCTGGCATCCCGTGGAGGGCGGGTCGCGCTTCACGATCGAGCTTCCGGAGGCATAGTGCATCCTCGGCCCAGCATGCTGGAAGCTAGGAAGATCGGCGACAGGGGCACGACCAAGGCCGACGGCATCCGCGGGGCTGGGGTCAGCGCGACCAGCCGGAAGTTCCTTGGCTGCAAACGACGACTTGCCCGATGGGTCGCGGACTCGATCTTCGCCGTCGCCGGCAAACCGGCCTCCTTCATCGACGGGTTCTGCGGGACCGGTGCGATCGGCCTCGAGATGCTGTCCCGAGGCGTCGGGCACGTCACCTGCGTCGACAACCTCCTCTCCAACACGGTGATCCTCGACGGGGTGCTCTCCGGTCCCGATCCCGAGCGTCTGCGCTGTGCGCTGAGTCATCTCAACGCGGTGCGACCACAGCCGGGCTACGCGACCCGCTGGTACGCGGACACCTATTTCACGCGTGACAACTGCATGCGCATCGACGCGATCCGCCCGCAGGTGGACCAGCTCCTGGAAGCCGGACGGATCGGTCCACGGGAGCGTTCGGCACTCCTTGCCAGCCTGTTGCTGGCATGCGATCGGGTCGCCAATACCGTCGGGCAATACGATGCGTATCTGAAACACCTGGGCAGCCGGCCCATCGAGGGCGGCCGTCATCTGGTCGACTCGCGAGTCTACGAGCCACTTCGGCTCGCGCCGCTCCGAACGATCGAAGCGCCGGGGGCGCAGGTCCTTACCGGAGACCTGCTCGACCTTGCCCCGCGCATCGATGCCGAGGTCGTCTACCTCGACCCTCCCTATACCACGCGGCAGTACATCGACAACTACCACGTTCTGGAGAACATCGCCCGCTGGCAGCAGCCCGAGCTGTCCGGGAAGACGCGAAAATTCCCGCGAAGCCACCTGAAGAGCCCGTTCAGCACCCGCCGCGGAGCAGCCCGGGCGATTGGCGCTCTCCTCGAAGCCCTTCGCGCACGCTGGATCATGATCTCCTACAACTCCGAGGGCATCGTGCCGATCGCGGATCTGGTAGCCTTGGCGCGCTGCCATGGGCCGGTGCGCATGCTCTCTCGTCCGTATCCGGTGTTCGGCGGCGGTGCGGGCGTGGCGCGGCGGAGATCCGTGACCGAGTGCCTTGTCATGATCGGGCCGCGGCGATGAGCGCGGGCAAGCGGGAGCTGTTTCACCCCGACGGCCGGTCCCGCGGATTCTACTCGGAGCGCAATCGCCTGAACGACCTCACCGGCAAGGAGTGGCTGTACTGGACCCGGTCCGTGATCAGCCGGCCCTATCCGGTTGACCGTCAACACCACCTGCGACGCGCCCATGGCGGTCAGAAGCCGCCGGAGCTCTGCGCCGACCTGGTCCGCATCTTCACCAAGTCGGGGGAGTCCGTGCTCGATCCGTTCATGGGTGTGGGCGGCGTGCTGCTCGGAGCGGAACTGGCCGACCGGCGCGCGGTTGGGGTCGAGATCAATCCGCGTTGGATTCGCCTCTACCGTCGCGTGTGCGATCTGGAGGGGTTGGGCGGCCAGGAAACCCATGCGGGCGACGCTCAGGAGGTGCTCCCGAAGCTGTACGACCGCCGCTTCCAGATGATTCTCACCGACGTTCCGTACTGGCAGATGGAGACCGCGCCGCGGTCGAAAGGGGTCTTCAAGCGGGTCGGACAGCCAGCCGCTCCCCGGCGGCCGACACGGCTGCACGCCCATAACGACGTCCGCTATCCGAGCAAGCAGGCGTGGCTCGATGCCATGGGGCGTACTTTCGCGCATGCCGCGGCACTGCTTGAGAGCAACCGCTATCTGGCCACGTTCATCGGCGACATGTATCTGCAGGGTCGCTACCACTGCCTGTCCGCGGAGCTGGCCGACGTCCTCGCCACTATTCCCGGCCTGGTGTGGAAGGCCAATCTCGTCTGGTACGACGTAGCCAAGGCGCTGCATCTGTACGGCTACCAGTACGCGTACATTCCCTCCATGGTGCATCAGAACATCCTGGTGTTCCGCAAAGAGGGATGACGCGCGCAGGGCGCCTTCGGCCATGAGCCGCGACCGTCATCTGTTCGTGCACGGCTTTCGGGCCATCGAGGAGTTCATCTCGGAAGCGTCGCCTGGCAGCGTGCTGATGCTGGCGCGGGCCGGCGCTCGCCATCGGAAGCTGGCGGAGTTGGCGGCCGCGTCGGGAGTCCCCGTACGGCACGTTCCGGAGGGTGAGCTGAATCGTCATGCCGACGCGTCGCGTCATCGCGGCGCGTTGCTGCGCATGCGCGACCGACGGCGGCGAACGGGCGATCGGCAGTTGGACGAGATCATCGCGCGAACCGATCACACCGCGCTGGCACTGGCGGTGGACGGGGTCACCGATACGGCAAATCTCGGAGCGATCCTGCGCTCCGCCGAAGGCTTCGGTGTCGATCTGGTAATCCTGCAGGCGGATCGGGCGGCGGCCGTCACACCGGCGGCGATGCGGGCCGCCGCCGGTGCGACGGCCTACCTGACGATCGTGACGGTTACCAATCTGGCGCGCGCCCTCACACGATTTCAGCAACACGGGTTCTGGGTGGTGGGTGCCGATCTCGACGGACAACCTCTGAACGGGTACCGGTTCGCCGAACGTGTCGTGGTGGTCGTAGGGTCGGAAGGGTCGGGAATCCGTCCGGGCGTTCGCGTCCGCTGCGATGCCCTGGTCACCGTCGAAACCGTGGGCAGTGTCGGCTCGCTCAACGTGTCCGTGGCAACCGGTATCGTCCTCTACCGTGCGGCATGTTCGCGCGATGCGGCTCGTTCGCAACGGGCCCTGACAGACACCGGCGTGTAGGGTTGTTGCGCTACCGGCTGCTCCGGTAGGGCGCTGCGATGTCGCGGCGATACCAGCCGCGATGGAATCGGATCCGTTCGGCCAGTTCGTACGCGTGATCCGCCGCCACCGCCAGGTCGGGGCCGAGACCGACTGAGGAAAAACAGCGGCCGCCGCCGGTCACCACGCGACCATCGCGGGTACGCGTGCCGGCGTGAAAGATCAGCCCGCGTTCCGGGTCGACGGCCGGCAGGTCGACCGAAAAACCGGTCTCGTACCGAGCCGGGTACCCACCGGAAGCTACCACGACGACCACGGCTGCTCCGCGCTGACGGGGAGCAGCCGGCAGCCGCCCTGCGGCGACTGCTTCGAACAGGGTGGCCAAGTCGGTATCCAGGGTGGGAATCAGCGCCTGGGCTTCCGGGTCGCCAAAGCGGACGTTGTACTCGATCACCTTGGGACCGTCGTCGGTGACCATCAACCCGATGTACAGCACGCCGCGGTAACTCAAGCCCTGCTCCGCCATGCCCTCTACGGTTGGGTCGATGATCCAGGTCCGGATCCGTCGGTCCAGATCGTCGGTGATCCACGGCACCGGGGTGAACGACCCCATGCCGCCGGTGTTGAGGCCCATCTCGCCTTCGTGTTGCTTCTTGTAATCGGCACAGTATGGCAACAGCAGGTAGTCCTCCCGGGCACCGCCGTTCAGCAGCACGAAGGCCGAGAGTTCAGGTCCACTCATGTGTTCTTCCAGCAGGATAGGGCCCGCCTCCAGCCCGTCCCGCGCGAATGCCACCAGGGCGTCCGGGTCGGCCGAGTCCAGTACTCCCTTGCCGTCCGCCAGACCGTCGCGCTTGACGCACCAGGCGCCGCTTCGAGCAGCGCAATATCCGTGCCGCCGTTTCGAAGTCACCGACGCGGTGCGAGCTTGCCGTGGGCACTCCGTGCCGGGCCATGAAGTCCTTGGCAAAGGACTTGCTCGACTCCAGCCGCGCGGCCGCGCGCGTTGCCCCGAACGCGGCGATGCCTGCCGCGTCCAGGACGTCTACGGCACCGGCGGCCAGCGGTGCTTCCGGTCCGATCAGCGCCAAGTCGATCGCATGTTTGCGGCATTCGGCCAGCACCGCTTGCGGGTCGAGAGGATCCAGGTCGGGCAGGTTGTGCGTGATCTGCGCGGTGCCGGCGTTGCCGGGTCCCGCGTACAGGTGGCTCACCGTCGGGCTGCGGGAAAGTGCCCAGACCAAGGCATTCTCCCGCGCTCCGGCGCCGACCACCAGCGCTCTCATGTGAACGTTGGGGATCGATAGCTATCGTGCGTCACGGCGGCGCGTGGCCTCGGCCGTCGTTCACCTGGAAGAAGCGTTGGCTGTTGGCGAACACCGCGTCCGCGAACTGGTCCGCCGGCAGATCCCGGAGGTCGGCGACGAAACGGGCGGTCTCTTCCAGGTACGCGGGCCGATTGCGTTCGCCACGCCGGGAGGCGGGCACCATGAACGGCGTCTCGGTTTCAATGAGCAGCCGTTCCAGCGGGATGGCAGCCGCCACTTCCTGCAGGATGCGGGCGCTTCGATAGGTGACGTTCCCGGCGAAGGAGATGAACAGGTTGAGCTCCAGCGCGCGCTTCGCGAAATCGAGGCCTTCCGAATAGCAGTGGAGGACGCCGCCACGCGTCGGCAGCTTGTCACGCAGCACCGCCAGCAGATCAGAACCGGCGTCGCGGTTGTGGATCACCACTGGCAACCCGACCCGCTCGGCGATCTCGAGCTGGCGGACGAACAGGTTGATCTGTAAATCCCGGTCGCCGTACTTGCGGTAGTAGTCCAGGCCGGTCTCGCCGATGGCCACCACCCGCTCGCGGCCGGCGAGCTCCTCCAGCCGTGCCTCCCAGCCGTTCGGCAGCCGGTCCACCTCTGACGGAGATATCCCTGCGCTGTAATAGATTGAGGGCTCCTGGCTGAGCTGCTCGTAGGTGTCGGCGAAGTCGATCAGGTTGTTCGAGATGCAGACGAATGCATGCACGCCGGCATGTTTGGCTTCCTGCACCGCCAGCAACTGCTCGATCGGGTCGTCGTGGATAAGGCCGAGATGGGCGTGAGTGTCGAAGAGTTGCATCTTTCTACTTGAGTGGAGGAGCTGCCAGCCACGCCACGGCCGGGCCGGTTTGACAAGAGAACTCCTCGAACGCTACTGTGCCCGTCACGCTCCGGTCAAGATGGTGCCGGAGCCGGAAGCGCGCAACCATCACAGACACTACCGTGCAATCAGGCTTTGGTCGTCGCAGCGACGCCTTGCTGGAGACGTTGAGCGGCGCGCACCCGTCCGCTTTCGCACGGCGTTTCAGGCTCGCGCTGCGCTCGTTGGTGCGCAAGGGGAATCAGCGGTTCACGCTGATGCTGATTCCCCACAGCGAGCGTCGCACGTACAACCTGCAGCTCTCGGTCTTCACGTTGCTGTTTCTTGGCTCCCTGCTGATCATCGTGCTCTTCGCATTTCTGGTTCTCTCCACCCACTTCACCGCCACCAATGAGCGGATGGCGTCGGTGAACCAATCGTTGACGGCCAGCGAGTTTGCGTTGGAAGCGGTGGGAGATGAGGTGATCGCTCTGCAGGACACTATGCAGGAGTTCCGGGTACTGCTCGACCAACTCCAGCGGATGCTCATCTCCGAGAACGTGATCGCCAGCGCCGCACTCCGGGATGGCGGGGACGGGGACCTGGCCTCCTTCGTGAGCCATCCCACGGTGCTCTCGGACGACGTGCCCGGGGTCACCGCCCTCCGCCAGTTGAGCGCTGCCCTGGACGCCTCGATGAGTCCGCTGACCGAGCTCAACGATACGGTGGCGGCTCAGCGGGCGCTGCTGGTCGACGTTCCGACGCTCTGGCCGGTCCGCGGTGGCAGGGGATATGTGACCTTCCAGTACGGCCCGCAGCGGCATCCGTTCACGGGCGCGTTCTACATTCATCGCGGCATCGACATCGGCATGCACCGGGGCGCCGAAGTCGTCGCCACGGCCAACGGGACGGTCCGGCGGGTCGCCTACGAACGGTACAATCTGGGCAACGTGATCGAGATCGAGCACAAGTACGGCTTCGTCACCCGCTACGGGCACCTGGGTCGAGTGCTGGTCGAAGCCGGGCAGACGGTGCAGCGAGGTCAGTTGATCGGTCTGATGGGGAGCACCGGTCGGTCGACCGGGCCGCACGTGCACTACGAGGTCAGCATCGGCGGGCAGCTCCGAAACCCGGAGGAGTTCCTGACGATTTCCGGCATGGCCGGGGGTTTGTCACGATGACGACCGATCGCGACCGCGGGATCGGCACCGGCGGCGAGGCGACGGTCGATTCGATCGTAGGACGGGGAACCCGGTTGAACGGTCACGTGGATTTGAAGGGCATGCTGCGCATCGACGGTGAGTTCAACGGCGAGGTGCGCGCGGTGGTCAGGTTCTCATCGGCCGAACCGGTCGAACCGAATGCACGGTTCACGCGGGAACGGTGATCGTGGCCGGAGTCATGCGCGGGAACATCGTCGCCTCCGAGCTGGTGGAGCTGCGATCGACCGCCACCATGTCGGGAACGATCCACACGCCGCGGTTGATCGTCGAAGACGGCGGCCGGTTCAGCGGGCGGTGTCATGCCGGCGACGAAGAGGCGGGAGGCGAAGACGGGCGGGGCGACGCGTCGGGGCGCGGCGAGGTCGCCGCGGGCGACGATCGGCCGGTATCGGCGTACCTGCGGAGGCCGGCATGAAGGCGCCCGCAGCGGTGAGCGGCAGGGTCGTGCGGGTCAAGCTGCTGCACTCCAGCGAGACCTGCCTGTGCGTGCCGCTTCCATCCGAGGCGATTGATCTGGAGGACGGCGCCGCCGTCATCGTGCCTACGCGTCATGGCTCCGAGATCGGCCGCGTGCTGGGCCCGGTACGTGATGAAACCGAGCTTCGCGGCGCCGAGCTGTTCGAGGTGATCCGACAGGCGGATGCCGAGGATCTGGATGGCTACGAACGCAACCGCGAGTTCGCGGACGATCTGCTGCGGTCCTGTCGACGCCGTCTCGAGGGATTCAGTCTGGCGATGAAGCTGGTCGCCGCGCACTTGGTGTTCGGCGGCGGCAAGCTGATCCTGTACTTCACGTCGGAAAAGCGGATCGATTTCCGTCGTCTGATCGGGGAGCTGTCGGACGAGATAGGCCTGCGCATCGAGTTGCAGCAGATCGGCATGCGCGATGAGACCCGCATCGTTGGCGGGGCGGGGGTCTGCGGACGGGTGTTGTGCTGCAATGGAGTCACGGATCGCCGTCCGCGGGTGACGGTGCGGATGGCGCGTGAGCAGGGGCTGTCGCTCGATACGCGGCGAATCTCCGGACAGTGCGGGCGCCTGCTGTGCTGCCTGTCCTACGAGTACGAATTCTACCAGGAGGTGCGTCGCTCGGTGCCCACGGAAGGCAAGTCGGTGTACTACCAGGGCGACCGGTTTCGCGTGATCGAGCTGAACGCGCTCACCGGACGTGCCCGCATCGGCGGAGCCGACGGTGTGGTCCTCGGGGTGGATTTCGGGGACTTCCGGTTCGATGAGGCGAACCGACGCTGGGAGGTCAGCCCGGTATGAGGGCGGGCGTCTCCCGTCGCCAGCGCTCGACTTGCGCCGCGATCTCGGCGCGCATCCGCTGCACCAGCACGCGCAACTCCGCCTTGTTTTCCGGCGGCTGGTACACCGACAGGAACTTCACCCGGTAGCGGGTTCTGCCCATGCGGGCGAGCCCTGTGAGCCCTCGCAGGCGGTAGCCGCCGTCGACCGCGGCCGTCACGATCGGCAACGGCCGGCGTTCAAGAACGGTGGCCAGCCCCCCCGCGTGGAACCGGTGGACGGCGCCGTCGCGAGAGCGGCTGCCGTCCGCGAAGATGACCGGGCATGCGCCTTCGTCGGCGAGCGCGGCGAATCGACGGAGCTCCCGTAGCAGCAGGCGTATCTGGGCCGTATCGATGCGGCCTCGGGGCCGAACGATCAGAGCGTCGCCGCCGTAGCGAAGACATTTCGAAACCAGCGGCACCCCATACTTCAGCGATCGCTTCGCGATGAACTTGAGGGTCCGCTCGGGCAGTGCCGCGATCAGCACGGGGATGTCCAACAGGCTCTGGTGGTTGCTGACCAGCACGAACCTGGGGGGGAATTGCGTCAGATCCGATTCGGTGACCAGCGAGAAGCCGGTGAGCTCGCTCGCGCTACGGACTATCCGCCGTCCTTCATGGAGCATGAATCCGGATACCGCGTCGCGCAGTCGGCGCTCACGGTCTTGACCACGGGTCAGCCCTGGGGTAGCCGGGCGCGTCACGTGACTGGTTCCGGACAGCTTCCACCAGCCCAGTCGCAGGTCGCCGTACAGGAAGCGGATCAGCAGATAGCCGACCAGCAGCAGTCCGCGGATCACGAGGTGCCGCCGGTCATCGTCCGCGCCACCAAGCCGCGCAGGTCCGGCAGGTCGAGCGCCGGGACGCGCGGGTCCTTCAGCCACTCCGGCTTGGCGTATCCCCACGCGGCCAGATACACTTTGATGCGCGGGTCGTCATTGCCGACCAGATGGTCGAGCTGGTCATCGACCAGCGCGGCGCGCTCGGCCTGCCGCTCGTCGAGGACGGCGGCGACTGTTTCCAGCTTGGACACGGCAGCAGCGTGCAGTATGGCCCGGGGCGGCACCGGGAGTTCGTGGAATGCAAGGATGGCCTGGATGTAGAGGGGACGCTTGGTGGAAAGGATCCAGGTGGTCGCCCAGTCGGCGGCGCGCAGCAGCTCCGCCATCCCGGGATAGAGCGGGTTCAGGCGTAGCCAGTGTTCGCGATCATGAGCCATCAGCTCCTGACGGACACGGTTCAGGACGTCCCCGTACCGGGCCAGCGTCTGCGGACCGGCCTCGCGTCGAGCATGGTCGAACTCCTCCTGACGTGACGGTGTGCGGTTGCCGGCGAGCAGGCGCTGGATCAGAACGTAGTCGTCACCGGCCCGGATGAACGGGCGAAGGTGCAGGAAGCGCGCTCGCAGCGCGACGGGAACCGATAGCGGAGCGGACGGCGGTTGGCTCCCGTCTTCGGAGTCACGGGTAAGTCGATCGTAGGCTACCCACGAGCTGAACAGGCACTCGGCGGCGGAATCGCAGATCACGCCGTCGAAGTCGATGAACAGTTGAAGTGGGCTCGACATGCAACCGGTGTATCAGGCGGTCGCCGGCAGGTGAAGCACCTCCCCGGCGTGCGGGACGTACAGGACGCCGGACTCCTCGCGGTTCCTATAGTCGTCCAGCCTCACGCTGTCGGGATCGCGGTACCCGAGCCCGATGCGCTCGCACAGGGAGCGCGGCAAGGCGGTGGCCAGCTCGACATCGATCCTGGGGTGTTTCCACGCCGTCGCGGTACTCGCCCACACCGCGGACCAGCGCGGAGTGGGCCAGCACGCCGCGCGGAACGTCGGGGAAGCGGTGCCGCTCTGCCACCAGATAGTCCGTGACGTGGTACCCGACCCGTTCCAGGTAGGTGCCCCACGTGGCTGAGAGCCTGTCGATCTGCGGGCCGTAGATGATCAGCCGCCCCCCGTCGGCAACCACCGACTCCAGCTTGTACATCACCTTGCCGCCCACCCACAGCTCGTCGTACATCGCGGGGGCATGGCCGAGGACGGTATGGTAGCGCCGCGGCGTGCGGGTAATGTGGACCCGAGCCGAGTGGTCGGCCGCGTCGCTCCACGCCTGCTCGGGATCCCCTACGTACAACCCGGCGAGTTCTGGTGGCTCCTGCCCGGGCTGCACGACCATCGCGATCAGGTGACGGGCGGTGGGTACCAGCCCGGCGGCACGCTCGATGACGCGGCGCGCCGGCGTGTCCTTGTGCCCGATCGTCTTCATGCAGGTGATCACTGCGCTGAGCCAGTGGAAGAAGTCCAGGAACTCGCCGCCGGAGATGCCGGGAAACAGATACTTGTGACCACCCGAGAAGCCGACGATCTCATGAGGGAATACCGGACCGACGATCAGCAGCAGGTCGTAGTCGAAGATCGCCCGGTTGATCGTGATGTCGATGGCTTCGGCGAACCGACCGTCCGTGGCCGCGGAGATCTGCCGTTCCGTGAACGAGCCGATCCGTTGCAGCGTCCCCGGCGTATCCCAGCGGTGATTGAGGAAACGGCTGGAGGCGAAGCGATCGGCGCGCTCGGCGGCGCTCACGCCGTAGAGCCGGTGGATCGCTTCGTCCGACATGACCGGGTGCGTGCCCAACGCCACCATGTAGTCGAGCTGCCGGGCGTGTGGGCCGATGACCTCGTCGACGGCTCGTACCAGCGCGGGCAGCGGTGCGCTGCGGGTCGCGTCCGGCGTGATCGCGAGCACCCGTCGTGATTCGAACAGCGCGCGCGGGGTCCCCGCCTCGATGCGGCTGCAGATCTCCTCGTAGGTCAACGTCTCTGAGCGCTCCAGCGTCAGTAGGTCCGTCATGCATTCCCTCTCGAGCGGTTCGCCGTCCAGGTGCTCATGCGCATCGGCTTGGTATCGACGGTCAGATGCTGTCCACGAGAAAGCCGCCGTCGACCGGTATGGTCGCCCCCGTCACGAACCCGGCGGCAGCCTCGCTTGCGAGGAAAATCGCCGCGCCGGCCAGCTCCTCCGGCTCGCCGAAGCGCGCGAATGGGGTGCGGCTGAGAACCTGCCGGCCACGCTCGGTAGGCTGGCCGCTCGCTTCGTCGACCAGCAGTCTTCGGTTCTGTTCGGCCAGGAAGAACCCGGGAGCGATGGCGTTCACGCGGATCTTGTGGGGGGCAAACTCCTTGGCGGTCGCCTCCGTGAGGTTTATCACGCCCGCCTTCGCCGCTCCGTAGGCCCATACTCCGGAGAGCGGCTTGTATGAGGACATGGACGCTATGTTGATGATCGATCCCGGCAGCCCGCGATCGATCCAGTACGCGGCGACCACCTTGGTGGGCACCAGGCAGCCGGCAACCAGGTTGAGCTCGATCGTCTGCCGGAAGACGTCGATGTCGATCTCGGTAAACGGGCCTTTGCTCAAGTTGCCGCCGACCGCGTTGATCAGGACGCTCGGGCAACCCAGACGCTCCTCGGTCTCCTGCAGTGCATGCCTGATCGCATCCGGCGAACCGGCGTCGGCGACGACGCCGATCGTCCGTTCGGGAGCGTTCAGGGCGTCCAGGGCGCGGTCGACCGTCTCGGGCCGGCGACTCCACACCGCGACGCGTGCTCCGGCGCCGAGCAGGCCGCCCGCCATGCCGATTGCCAGCGTCGCGCCGCCGCCCGAAATGGCCACGGTAGCGTCCAGTGAGAACAGTGGCGAAGTGGTGCTCATGTCGATGACCAGTTTGTGTGGAATGTGCCGGGGCGGTCGACCCGCTCGTAGGTATGGGCGCCGAAGTAGTCGCGCTGTGCCTGGATCAGGCTGGCCGGCAGGCGGGCGGTGCGGTAGGAGTCGAAGTAGCTGAGCGCCGATGCGAACGCCGGGACCGGTATCCCGGCGGAGGTCGCCGCCCCGATCACCTTACGCCAAGCGGACTGCGCGCGGTGCAGCACATCGGCGAAGTACGGGTCGAGCATCAGATTGGCCAGGTTCGGCTCGCGGTCGTAGGCTTCTTTGATCCGCTGCAGAAAGCGGGCGCGGATGATGCAGCCGCCACGCCAGATCATGGCGATGGCCCCATAGTCGAGCTGCCATTCGTACTCGGAGGCAGCGGTCCGCATCAGCGCAAACCCCTGAGCGTAGGAGCAGATCTTCGCGGCGTAGAGCGCGTGCCCGATCGCGTCGGCAAGGTCTGCTCGATCGCCCGTGAAGTTCGTCCCGGGACCGCGGAGGACACCGGCGGCGGTGACTCGTTCCCGCTTCGCAGCCGATAGCGAGCGTGCGAACACCGCCTCGGCAATGGTGGGTGCGGGGGCGCCCAGTTCGAGCGCTGACTGCCCGGTCCAGGTCCCCGTACCCTTCTGACCGGCCTTGTCCAGGATCACCTCCACCATCGGCGCGCCCGTTTCCGGGTCGGTAGCGGCCAGGATCCGCGCCGTGATCTCGATCAGGTACGAGTCCAGATCGCCGCGGTTCCAGTCCGCGAAGCGTTCCTGCATCGCCGGATAGGTCATGCCGCACACGTTGCTGCAGCAGGGAGAACGTTTCGGCGATAAGCTGCATGTCGCCGTACTCGATGCCGTTGTGCACCATCTTGACGTAGTGGCCGGCGCCACCCGGCGCCGATGTACGTGCAGCACGGGCTGCCATCCACCTGTGGCGGCGATCTCCGTCAGGATGGGGCTTACCATCGTACGCCGCCTCGCTGCCGCCGGCATATGCTCGGACCGCGCAGCGCTCCCTCGTCACCGCCCGACACGCCGGTTCCCAGGTACAGCAGGCCGGCGTCTTCCGCTTCCCGGCAACGGCGGATGGTATCGGCGAAGAACGAATTGCCGCCGTCCAGGATGGCGTCGCCGGGATCCAGCAGCGGCTGCAGTTGGCGAGCACCGCATCGACGGGCGCGCCCGCCTGCACCATCAGCAGTATCCGCCGTGGACGGCTGAGCGCCGCGACCAGTTCGGGCCAGCGTAGCGCATGGCAGGAGCCGCTTGCCTGCGCCCTCGCCGTTGACGAAGGCCTCAAGGGTGCGGGCGGTGCGGTTGTGGACGGCGACGGTGAACCCGCGGCTTTCGATATTGAGGGCCAAATTGCGGCCCATGACGGCCATCCCGACCACTGCGATATCGGCCACCATGTGTACGGATCTCATCATAGGAGCGCGCGGACCGTCTTGTACACCGCCGGTGGTGAGGGGCCTGGGACCGAGTGCCGAGCTACGGGAGCGACGCCGGTGTCGGCGGTCTCAACCGGATACCACGGTTCGCAGACGGTCGGCGACCTCGGAGGGCGTGGCCGTACCGTCGATGGGTCGCAGCAGGCCGGTAGTCCGGTAGTAGTCGACCACCGGGGTGGTCTGCGCCCGATAGGCGTCCAGCCGCCGCCTGATCGCCTGCGGGTCGTCGTCTTCGCGCTGCACGGGCGAGCAGAAGCGGGCGGCGTTTGCCGGCATCGAGGCGACGTTGAAGGTTGCCCCGCACGCGCTGCATGTGCGGCGTCCGGAAAGGCGTCTGACCACTTCCTGTTCGGGAACGACCAACTCCACCGCGGCTTCGATGTCCGCGAACCCGGCCAGCGCTTCTGCCTGCGGGACCGTTCGAGGAAAGCCGTCCAGGATGAACCCAACGCCCCTGGGCATGGTCGCCAGATGCTCACGCACCAAGGCGATGGTCAGCGAGTCAGGGACCAGACTTCCCGCCTGCAGCAGGGCGGCCACGCGCCGGCCCAGCGGGCTCTGCTCCTTGACCGCCGCGCGGAACAGGTCACCGGTGGAGATGTGACGGATGCCGGTGCGGATGGCCACGGCGGTGGCGACCGTGCCTTTTCCGGCGCCTGGTGGTCCGAGGAGAACCAGCTGCATGGGATTCGGGATTCTCGAGCGAACGACGCCGCTTGGCTCGAGGGATCAGGTGCCCTGAGCGTAGTCGGTACGGTACGCCTGCTGTTCTGCGGTGAGCTCGTCGATCTCGATACCCATCGTCTGCAGCTTGATGGCCGCGATCTCCCGGTCCTGCTCGTCCGACACCGGGTACACGCCCGGCGTCATGGAGCTACCCTCCCTGGCCAACCTGATCAGAGACAGGAACTGGTTGGCGAACGACATGTCCATCACCTCCGGCGGATGGCCCTCGGCAGCGGCCAAGTTCACCAGACGGCCTTCGGCCAGAACGTACAGCCGCCTGCCATCGCGCAGCACGTGCTCGCGATTGTTGGCGCGAACCTCCTCGGAGCTCACAGCGAGCTCCGAGAGGTCGTCAAGGTTGATCTCGCAGTCGTAGTGGCCAGCGTTGCATACGATCGCACCGTCCTTCATTCGTTCGAAAATGGTGGGGGGGTGGGGGGGGGTCGACGGGTGATCACGTCACGGATGCCGGTGGTAGTGATGAATATGTCGCCCACGGCGCTGGCCGCGTCCATGGTCGACACATTGAAGCCTTCCAGCGTCGCTTTCAGCGCCGCGATCGGATAGACTTCGGTCACCAAGACGTTCGCTCCAAGGCCGCGCGCACGCTGGGCCACGCCGCATCCGCAGTGTCCGTAGCCGGCGACGACGAGCTGCTTGCCGGCCAGCAGCACTGACGTGGCCCGCAGCACACCGTCCAGCGCCGACTGGCCGGTACCGTAGACGTTGTCGAAGTCCCACTTGGTGGTGGCATCGTTCACCGCGATCACGGGGTACTTGAGCGCGCGATCATCGGCCATGGCCCGCAGTCGATGTACACCGGTGGTGGTCTCCTCCGTGCCGCCGATGATGCCGGCGGTCATTCCATCCCCCCCACCATGCGCGCGAAAGATGAGGTCGGCGCCGTCGTCGAGCGTCAGGTTAGGGTCCATCGTCAGGGTCTGGTCGATGCACCAGTAGAACTCGTCGGTGGAAAGGCCGTGCCAAGCGTAGATCGGGGTTCCTTCCGCCGCCAACGCCGCGGCTACGTCGTCCTGGGTGGACAGCGGATTGCAGCCCGACCACGCCACCTCCGCGCCCGCGTCGCGCAGGGCGCGGATCAGGATCGCCGTCTCCTTGGTCACATGCATGCAACCGGCGATCCGCATTCCGGCCAGCGGCATCGACTGGCGATGAAGCCCACGCAAGTGCTGGAGCACGGGCATACGCGACTCCGCCCAGCGGAGCTTCAGCGCGCCCTGATCGGCGAGTCGCGGCCGTCTTTGAATCCTGTTCTGCTGCCCACT